TGTTGCTTGCTTTATAATCGTATATTTTGTGCCGTATAGCGGGTGGTCTCGCTGAGTCGTTAGAGGTGCGTATTATCACTCCGTTTGAACTGGGTTCAATCCCTGGCCTGAATTAGGAAAAAACCGCTTTCTATTAGCGGTCGCCCCTCGGCCGGCAAGGGCGCACCACCGAGTGTAGTTCTGCCATGAAAAAAAGCTTCTCATAAAAATACAAACGCCGTTCGGAATCGGCGTAAAACTGTTGGTCCCTCGCCTTTGTGGGACAACATCAAAGCGCACGCCATAAATCCGAATAGAAGCCCGCCACGTTTTCATTAAATACATTTTTTAGCAACTATTATTATTTACTTATTGTACGAGATAACAATTTTCCCGATTAAAATTAAATTTGTTTACTGTATTATGAGAATTTAATAAATTTTTCAGAGCTTATGGCAAATATGACTAAATATTAATGTCCTGTTTCCACTTGATATGCAACTTTCCATTTGCTTACACAGCAAATATTGCTTATGTGTACATCTGAGCTCGCGTGCGTGGGTGTGTGTGAAAGCAAACTTCCTGTCAGTGGGCGCTTTTGCATTTGTGATCACGTAAGCCCATCAACAAATCCAGACATTGGCATTCTAGCACACGTATGTATATAGTACATATGTATGTATGTATATATATATATATATATATATTTGTGCACACATGTGGCATGGTATACGTGAATAAATTGCATGAAATTTTCACAACCGGAAGCGGAAACGCGTTCGTGCATATTAGCAGCACTGTCAACAGTAGCGATAATGACAAAACGACATGAGCGTAAAAACAGAAATAGAAATAGCACCTGAAGCCGCAGTAACTGCCCACGCAACAGTAAAATGTTTCCACATAATTCAAGACATTTTCACTACCGCGGCCACATGCATATGTTGTGTATGTAGCTGTGTGTATGTGTGTTGTGTAAAAAACGACAATATTTTTCGCTTAACGTTTGTTGGCCACAAATACTTTATGTCTCATCTGTTGCATCGTTTCCCGCATTTTGTATGTCTGCCATAAATGTCATAACGTTTTATAAGCCCGACGATATGTTTTCTCACCGCCGAACTCGTATTGGAAACCGCAAAACATTTATTGACAAGCTGCGAGTAATTCGACTGAATGCAACAGCAACACAGACGCTCCTCAGTCAAACATAACTCCATATGTTTGCATGTGTGTATGTACAAATGTGTATGATTGGAACTATATAGGTCAGGCCCGGCCGCAGGGGTTGAGGTATTTGGGGTTTAAAACCCCCCCTGTGGAGGGAACTATGCTTAAAAATTTGCCATCATTTAGTTAAAGATATGGTACTCGTAAATGGATAATGGTAAAAAAATTTTAAGTTCTCAAATATTTAAGATCGCTTTTCAGAGCTAGTAGTCGAGAGATCTAGCTTTATTTTAAACCATCCCTTTTTCTTCTTTGGTGGAGCTTCTAAAATATTGCAAAAACCGTGATTTGTTGACACTTTGACCTATTTTGTTCTCTGATTCCGCAGTGTACATTTTTCAACGCTGTTAATTTTTCGGCCACGAATAGTTTCCACTTTCAAATTTGCACCTTCTCTATCTATACAAGTTCTCTGCTTCTACACAAATTTAACAAACACTGTTGGATGTAAGCTGTTCCGACATGCGCCTAATTTCATGCCAACGAACCGAATGAAGTTTTGTGCTTACTGGGGATTTATAAAGGGAACATAAATTAGGAAAAAATATAGGGGGATCATTGATGACCAACAAAAACCCCAATACTATACTGATGTAAATTTTCTAAACATGCCAAAATAGGAAGCCAACAATTTACATACTTCTTCTTTGGCTTATGATAATTAGAAAAAAAAACACAACAACAAAAAATCAAATTAAATTTGAACCAAGACATACGGCGAGACGCCAAAAATGTTGCATTGCCCCTAGCATACGCGCCACCGCACATTCTTAAAATGATAATCTCTAAATCACTACATATGTATATGAATCCGGAAACCGATCTGAAAAAAGCGGAGGAAGAGCGAATTTTTGGTCCGTTTACTGATTCTATTTTCGGATACTTTGTCAATCCGTTTTCCCGGAAAATGGTGGTGAAGAGGATACGTTTTCGGCTGTTTTTTTCTGAAATTTGTCTGATTGAATTTTTCGTCCCATACGCTTTCACTCTGCACTTCACAGATAACTTTTCATGGTTCAAAACAAATAATTATAAACCCGGCACCTTCTGGAAGCTAACAAATAGCGGCACAATCCTCTGCACGCTCAGCCACTGCCGACTACGCATGCATGCTTTCAAATGTTTGGCTTGACCAAATAAAAATGTTGAAAAATGTCGAAAACAGTGACAATGCAAAAATTTTTCGCACTTTTTGCTAATTATTTACAATAAAAAATGATTTTTTTTTAAGTTTGTGTATAAAAAATGTGGGACATTAAATTCTCTACAAATACAACCTTTTTTTTACGAAAAATGCAAAATAAACATGCGAATCGCCAAAACCCAAAAAACCTAAAATCCAATATGGCGGAATGTTCCGATATTAGATTTAGGGCGAGAGTGTGGATCCATAATCTACATGTCAAATAGAAGTAAACTGCATCAAAATTTCGTTACTACACCCCTTTTTAACCGACTTCCATAAAAGGAGGAGGTTACCAGTTNTTTTTTTTTATGTATGTTATCGCATAACTTTGGACCACGTCAACCGATTTCGATAATTCTTTTTGCATCGGAAAGGTAGTGTCTCCGAGGTGGTCCCGTACTAATCTGGTTAAGATCCGATCAGTGGATCATGAGATATATATATATACATTTTTTTTTATATGAGAGTTGAAGTCGGTTTTTTTTTGCTAAAAATTACTTGTTTTCGTAACGATTTGATCTAGATCTAGATTTTCTTAACTTCTGAATTCCTATAAGGTAGAACCGCTGAGAGTCACTTTTAAAATTCTTGACGTTTCCAAACAATTTAATTTTTAAATTTACTCACAAACTCACACACATTTTCATTTTCAATCTCAAACAACAACAATTTCGAACAATTTCACTTTTTTATTTTCACTTTTATATGATTTTAAAATGTTGGCAGACTTCAAAAAAAAATCATGGCCGACAAATTGACAGAACGGTTCTACCTTGCTATGTTTTTATCATGGAAAAAAACCAAAATTAATTTAAAAGTTGGGAAAGTTTGAAAATAGGTCAGCCATATTTGATGTAGGCGTGCAAAACTACATCAAATGCCCTTAAGATATATTAAATTTCCCGCTGAATTATAAGCAATTTTGACCACTTTCTGAAAAATTGCATTAGAATGCTGAACTTTAGGCCTTTTGAGGCACTTCTTTCCATTGTCGGATTTTAAAATTTTTTCGCAAGGCATGTTTCTATGAACAAAGGAAAATTTCTAGAGGGAGTCTTGCTTTGTAGCTTAACAAAAAATTTTCTCCATGCAACTAAGGCCCAGTCTAATGTACAGGCATGGGCAGAGAACGAGCACACAATGGGCTAGCTTTTCTCAATATTCATCGTAATCTGTAAATTCCATGTGGCTTTTCTTTGAGTTTTGCTAAATTATATACCACAATTAAATACAATGTGCTGAATACTCTAAATAAAACAATGATATTCTTGGTTGTTACGAATGAGTTTACATAAAACCTCCCCCCCCAAGAAATCCTGCGGCTCGCCCTGATATAGGTATATACATACATATGTATGTATACAAAACATAAATAGAGTTAAACATATGTAAATAGTATGTAAGGAATGCACACAACGGAACAAAAAAGTTTGCAAACTATTTTCAGTTTCAGCCGCAAATCGAAGGACATTGATTGAAAATATGCTGTACGCAATCAACATATTTCGCTTTTAAATTCAAATTGGATATTTTTTTGTGGAATGTGTGACTGCATGGCCGATAATGAAATAGCGATAATTATTATGCAAAGATATAGAGAGTACTTACTATATATTGTGGATTGAATTGTTTGAAGTAGTAATTTACTTTGAATATGGAAAACTTTTAAATAAATGCAAAGGTTCTCAAGCTTGGTATACTGATGAATCCAAGCTTGTCGAAAGGACTACAAGATCATCCAGTTTCTGATCTAGATTTCAGAAAAATGTACCCCAATTGGCGTATAGCCAATCATCACATAGAAAGATTAATATACCCAGAATAAATATTATGTCAGACAGTCAAATAGGTTTAAAAGGCCATTACTATACTATAATCATGTCAGTGTACTTGCGAGCGACGCACAGCGTTTCGACTATTGTGCGAGTTGATGAAAAACCGGTTGAGCACTTTTAAAGTCTTAACCCTTTCGATCCGAACGGGACACATAAACAGGGTTTGAAATGCTTAAGCAATATTAGCAAAAGCAACGAAAATATGCTGATACTGTGCTTCTGAAGTTGTCTTGCTTCAAAAGCAATATTCTTGCTTTTGCCTTGTCTTCAACAAAAACGAACAGCCACAGCAGCAGCACGAGAAGAGCTGAGAGGCAAATGATCGTTTGTTTAGCAGCACGATAAGAGCTGAGNGTACATTGTTGTATTTCCATTTTACTTTATGCCTGCTAGAAAAAAAGGTTGTTTTTCAAGAATTCGAAAATAGAAAGCAAGATATTTACGTTTATGTATTTAAATTTAATTATTTAAAAAATTTAAAATATCAATAAACAATTAATCTTGTTCCTCATCCGGGTGTTGAAAGAGTGGCACATTGTCTATAGCAGCTTCGAGGAAGTTCGGATTCAGCTTTACTAGCAACATGTTTTCCAATGTTTCCTAACTTAAACGATTCCTGGAGTCCGTTGNTTACTAGCAATATGTTTTCCAATGTTTCCTCACTTAAACGATTCCTGGAGTCCGTTAGTATTAGCTTCAGCATGGAAAATGCACGTTCAATCGTCACCTGTTTTGTGAAAAGACCAAACGTTTTATTGAATTCAATAAAATTTATTTTATTTGTTATATTTAATTATTTTATTTATTTATTTATTCAATAAATAAATTAATTACATTAAATAAACTAAAAGGAACTCATAAAAACTTCAAAAATAAGACTTGTAAAATATATATACACATACATGTTATATGTATTAGACTGTGTCAAATAAAACGAATGCGGTAGAAAGTTTTTTTCATTGCAAATTCTTATTTTTGCGAGCGCTAATTGAAAAATGAAGATAGAGGGCTGAAATTTTGCCGTCATTATTTTTTTGTAACCGACAACGAAATTATGATATGGGACCGAAAGAAAAAAACATTGTTTTATTTGACTCAGTCTAATACATACATATATACAGTGGTCGAAATAATTTTAGCCACACCATATTTTGACAAGTTTAAACACATTATTTTTGTTGTTATTTAATTTTGGTAATTTTTTTTTTTTTAATAGTTCATTCTTTAACAAAACCCGTGTAGATCCAAATTTCAAACTTAGTGCAATATTAAAAAAAATTCAACAAACTTTATTAAAAATTTCTAGCTTTTTTAATTGGATTTCCTTGAAAGATACCGTTGATTTTTTGTTTAATTTTTTTTGTCGAAGATGTTACGGGTTTCTTCCATATAAAAATAAATTTTGTGTATTTTGTTATATGGAAGCAAATGTGACAAAAAAAAATCTAAAACATCTACCGTAATTTTTAGCCATTCGAAACTTGTACTTTGTTCTACTAGAATTCAATGGGCTTCAAAAGTGCATACCCAGAATCTTTCTAAGAAATCTAATTAAAAAGCTAGAAATTTTCAATTAGGTTTGTTGTTTTTTTTTAATATGGCACAAAGTTGGAAACATGGATTTACACGGGTTTTGTTAAAGAATGAACTATATTTAAAAAAATAACCCAAATTACAACAACAACAATAATATGTTAAAACTTATCAAAATATGGTGCGGCTATAATTATTTATTATTATGATATATATACCTGAGTGGGTGGTATTGCAAAGCAGACATTGCTTAACGCGTACATCTCTGGATCAGTAAACTGCTTTTCCTTCCAAAATATTAGAACGTTTGCGTCACTTCTTAGGATTGGTAGCTGCAGATTTTTAATTTTTGTATGTACATCGGTAGCAGTACCAACGTTAGCTTCAATACCTTGCGATAAATATTCGTTTAATAATTCATCTTCAACATCAAAAAATTGGTTGGGTGTTTGATGTGCACTTGAATTCGGAGTTGAATGCGCAATGCCGCCAGGGTTAGTTTCATTAATTCTATCCCATATTGTTTTTAAATATTGTGTTGCTTCCATTTTTTGGTTCGCTGTTAAGGTGTGATGGAACCGAGGATCCAAATACAAACATGAAATCAAACTGTTATTGCGCATTAACGTGTTTGTTCTTTTTTCAAAGGACTGCAATATCATATCACCAATTGTTTTAATTAGTGGGTGGTTCGAATCTTTAATAATTTTTTCCGTGCATATTTTGCATTTGAGCCATTGTGCGTAGAAATTACCATAGTGAAGTTGCTCTTCTTGAAATATTTTTATAGCTTTTTGCAATGGACTAAATACGAGGCAATAGCTGTCGATGAATTCCCAAAAGGAGTCGTCAATTTCGAAATTTTCGTCTTGGGTCTTATATTTAACGGACTCGATTTTTGTTAGAACGTCTTTTGCTGCCTTCAAATTTTCTACCATTGTGAAGGTCGAACCCCATCTTGTTGGACAGTCTAGTTGCGGCATCTTCAATTGCTTCAATTCAAAAATATCTCGATATCCGTTTGTTGTTTTTCTCACATATTTTGTCAAATTACGGGATGCTAATAAATATATGAACGCAGTAGCTGCTTTTTGTTAATTTCAATTTTAATTTTCTTTTTGCGTATCACTTTTGATAAAGAACTCGTCCTTGAAGTTTCGGAAGTTTCGACAGTATTTACATTGTGTAGTTTGATTAAGTGTGCTTTTAGATTTGCAATTCTATTGTTTTTAAGTTTATTTTTACATGTTTTGCATGTAGCAAAACCGTCGTTTTCATTATTATCAAAAAACTTCCAAATTTCATTTTGCATATTTCTCGTCATTGCCGTTAAAACACTAACAGCCACCGATCTGTTTGACACACATTCACAAACTGAAGCAATTAAAAAGCAGAATCAATGACAAAAGAAATATGTACATAGCTTAAAACAGTCGACGGCGACAGTTACAATATTTGCCGAAGCGAAAATGATGTGCTGCTTCAACTTCGGAATTCGCCAAAAGTTGCAGTCAGTGAAACTAAAAACTGTCGAATGCTTTGATTAGCGAAGTGCTTCGCAGTCTTTCAGCGATCAATTTTTGCTTTTTGTTCGACTGCGACTGATGCATGTGAATGCTGACGGCTTGTGAAAGCAGAACTTCTGTTTCTTCGACTGCCACTGTTGACGACTTGCAAAAGCAGAGATATTGCTTTTGCTTTGACTTGAGCTACTGACTGGTTTACGCCTATTTCAAACGATTTCGATATTATGTTCAGTTCGACTTAATGAGATAAAGTTATATAGTTATAAGTGGACGGTTTCACGCTCTCTTATCAAAATTCCTTAATAATCTTATTTATTCTCAAGGGATTGTTGTGAATATTGATTTTGAGAAAATAAGCGTCTTTAAATTTCCAAATATCGAAGTTTCCGCATTTCTTAAATTTACAGTTATGTATATGAAAAGTGGGCGTAATTTTAGTCCGCCCATTTTCAATATGGATAGTACGCTCCAAAGAAGTACACATACCAAGTTTCGTTAAGATATCTCAATTTTTACTAGAGTTATCGTGTGCGTAGGCGGACGGATGAACGGACGGATAGACAGTCGCAGTTTAATCGATTTGTTTTTTTCATTCTGAACATTTATGTATACATTTGTCTATATCTCTCTCGATTTATTTTGACTGTTAAAATCAACCGTTATGTGAAGAAAGTTATAATAGCCTTGTGCACAAGTGCGCGGATATAAAAATTTACATTTCAAAATTTATAACATATGTACATATGTCACCAATGAAGTTTAGTACATACAGGCCATGAATGCCCAAGCATCGATTAAAAAGTGCTATTAAGCAGCAAGCAGAATATTGTACAAAGGTTCGCAAAGGAGTAAAAGCATTCAAGAAAACCCAATAAATATTTCACTCAGTTTGACGGAATAAAACTTGTATATCATTGAAAATGAACTTGTATGTACAAAATAATTGATTTTGCTGCAGATATCTTGCAATGAATATTTTATATCTTTTTAAGATCTTTAGTTAAGATTCATAAAGCAATTTTGAAAAATTTCAAATACAATTACAATATAAAGTACAAATGACCCGTTTTTCTGTATTCAGTAGATCAAAAAATCAAAAACCTACCCATTACTGCAACAACCACACACACACTTGAAAAACCACGGCAAAATTACCCTAATTGCCTTTTCAACTGCAAACTTTGCGGATGTTTGTACAAGATAGGTTGCGTTCAGAAATGCATCAAGCCAAAGTATCAGTCTCTTTTACTTCTAAACTATAATTGATGGAAATGCCTTATTTACGCAACTAAGTTCCAATTAGGCATTTAATCGTTGTTGCGCATATAGGACATTTCTATCAATTATAGTTTAGAAATAAATGCGTCTGATGTTTTGGCTTGATGCATTTCTGAGCACACCCATAATGTACAAGACACTTTCATCCTTTCATTGCAAATGTACAATATATTGTACACTTTTTTTTACCCCTCAGGAAAAATATTTAAAATCATGATAGTTTTATTTTAGCATTTCTGTATGATGCTTTTCATATTTCCTTTCTATTTTTAAATTAAATTGTAAAAATGTTTTTGAAACGTTTTCGAATTTGAAATTTACGTTAACTATTCGAAACAGTCCAAGACTTCATAAAGTTTAATTTGTTTTCAGAAATATTAATAAGATGTTTAGTAGCACGCTTCCATTTAATTTTGATATAATAAAGTGCAGGTTTGAAGTAGCTTGAACATGCGGGTGATTTTTTGAAATGTTGCTGATTTACTTCTATATCTACTAAAAATATTCGAAAATTTTTGCATGGAGAAAATAACTAAAATTACGTAGCAAAAACCATTAATTGTTAAAACTTCCCAATATGTGGTGTACTCATAATTACGACACTGGGTGTATCTGTAAACGAAATTGTTACCGCTGTGGTATCTGTATGCGCGCTATATATCGAGCTTCTCCAGCAGACATCCCATGAAACTGTAACACCATTATTTCGCAGTCTTAGCAAAGTAATTCATAGCATTGTTATTGTTGCTACTGTTTGTTTCACAAAATACTATCATCAATATTTAACAATATCCACTTGGAAATTCAAATGATCTGCCAGGTGTGCATATCTAAATCAAAAGCGTAGGTAATGGCAGCAAAAGACGATTCAAAGATGAGTTGAAGGGAGATGTAGGTCCAGTGAAGGACTCTTGAGCTTTTTAAGCAGATTGGGAGCTTTTTAATACATACACATATGTATATATGTATATATTACAGTATACTTAAGTTTTACCAGTTTCAACATTGTGAAAGAAGCTTAGCAAAAATAAAACGAAGTTGCCCTAAATTCGTACAAAATAACTCCCACATTCAACTTGGAAATATATTGAAGATATTTCGACTGATAACTAACTGCATACACACGTTCGCATAAAATTAAGTACTGAAGCTCATGCAAAGCTTAAGCTCATGCACGTGCACGCATTCTTGATGCAGCGCGAAATTTAAAATTCATGCACCGCACTTGGCATTCTTGCGTACTTGAGTGGGCCTGAAGTGGGTAGAGATCATACTTGGTTGGAGAAGTGTATTAAGACGGGTACTAAAAAGGATTTGCAACTGAAAATAATGTAAAATAAAAAACTACTGCGAATAAAACAAAAAATATATATTTATATTGAAAATAAGAAAAGAGTACCAGACATATACGCGCATTTTTCGATAGACGGCGAGTCATGTTGTAGGCACAAATAAATTAAAAAAAAAAATACAGGACGCGCCGTAGCCGAGCGGTTAGAGGTGTACACGTTTACTTCTCTGGGGGAGCAATATTCAAAACAGTTTTTTCGAAAAGCTTTGGCCCCTCGGGAGGCAATGGCAAATCTTCGGTGCAGAAGTACAATGAAAAGGCTATAAAAACCCATTTGCCGTTGTGCAACAACATCAAGTGGCACACCACATATT